AAGGAGAGTCGCGCTCGGAAAAATATCGTTAAAAAGTAGGCATTGTACTTTTCACGTATAGGTACGGTGACAAAAATGCCACGTCAGGCGCGCGCGCGAGCATCAATATAATAATCAATGGGGAGCGAGCGTCAATGGGAAAAATCATCCTTTCATGCCTCTCTTTTCTCCATTCGAGGAAGTACGCCGTGCGGTCTTTGATGCTACTGCAATAAAGTGAGGAATCCTGACGATTCTCAAAGGCATAAAGGCAGGCAGTCTCGCGAAAGAGAGCGAGAGAGAGAGAGAGAGCATTGTCACGCAGTAAGTGTAGGAGTGAGCGGCCGAGTGCGCCCCGAATGTTTATTTACACGGGTAAATGCGTGTACTGTTATTACGCACATACAAGATATAAGCCGGGGATGAAGGAGCGAAGGCGCGCGCAGGCAGCCCAGAGCCCAGAGCGACGGGCGCTGCCGATGGAGCCTGCATAGCAACAACTTGTTCTCTCTCTGCTCCTTCGTATACTATACTTACAGGACTTGCGCGCGTACCAAAGCATCGCGTATATGTGCGCTTATAAATATAAGAGAGCGAGAAAAAGAAGAGGGTGAGAGGCAAAGTCAAGTCTCGGGATGGTCGGATACAAAGGAGGCCAAGAATAAAACACTGCGTACGCTCTCGCGAATGCCCTGTGTGTGTGTTGTACTCTTGTAGCGTGTACATGCGTGCATGTGGAATACGATACGTACCAGCTGCATGATTTTGTTCTGTTAGGCGTCGAGTCGACGCGCGTATGCGATAGGTAAAACACAGCTGATTTCGTCGACGATACAACACATACGTATACGTACAAAGGCAGCCTCTACCATACATGTATATCGCCCCTGCACGGTCCTACGCGTCCATGTAGCTACGTGAGAAAGGGTGTCGCAGTCCCGTGCGCTTTTATATTCTCTCGTGTTTCGAGAAAACCACTCGCGCCACTTACTTACGCCGCTGCTGCTGCAAACCGGCGCCTACAACACTTGCGATCTCTTCATTTTCTCGCGCTGCAACTCCCGCGCCTATACCTATATTGCATTTGTGTACTTTATTTCGTTCTCTCTACCTATATGCTTGGCGAAATTTGCGCGTCCTTTCGCGATTCCCATAAATTTCAATCGGATGAGTTTCCAATGGGCGTCGAGCCTTTTATTTTTGTGCACGCAACAGCAGCGGCAAAATCTGACATTCGCGTCCGCAACTGAGCCGCCGCCGCCGCTAAAACTAGTATTGTGAAACACGACGTCAAAGGAGGCGGAAACGCTCGATGGAAAAGACGCGTCCAAGTCGATCGCAGGTTGCGTCGAGCAGGTCCAAAGTAGTAATAGTAGTGGTATATTCGAGTAAACGGATCTGCGATCGCGACGCTTCGCTCGTTTCAGCCGGCTCAAGCTCTCGCTTAGCTCGGCTCGAGATTTTTCAATCGCGGAGAATTCAGAAGCGAATCGTTGTTTGCTCCGCCGACGAGGGATTATCCCTGTTGTCGTTCGCTTCTCGAGCGAACAATGCGCGGCACAAAGTATAAACACGCGGAATCTCGAGGTGTTTTCTCGAGTTTGTCGCTTGTGCTCCGCTTCACCGAGTCGGCCCGATGACAACTCGCTACGAATAATAAGCCATTAGCCGTAGAACTTAATCTTCTGTAAAATAGGCTCGCGATCCTACGCCACTAAATAAAAGTCTCACGTGCATCCTAATGTATCTTACGGACAAAGTGCGCCCGAGCCTGTTGATCGCGACATAAGATTTTTATACCCTCGACCGAATTAATTGGGCCGATCGCTACTTATAAGTGGGAGGCGAAAATATATACGTGGGTTACTTGCAGCTCACCGAGTGCGGGCGAAGGTGTCCGCGTATACGAGCCTACAACATCGACTGCACATGCGATCCGTACAAGTGACGCTCGGTACTGCGCAAATGTGCATCGCTCAACATGGCCAATAACAGGCGTAATGCTTGTTCGAAGCTGGCAATCGTCGTGTATCATTAAGTACATACGTGCAGTCTTTCTCTCTTTCTCTCGGGACGAATACGTCGGTCGTGTGATTACGCACCTATATATGTAATGCGAGTGCGAGTCCCATAGCGTTGCTAGTCGTATATGTACATAATGCAAACATAACGCGCACAGTCGGTGGCTTAATGTTGGACCGAGCTATATAGTTATGTGTACAAGGGGAGACGCTGCCGTTACAACATCGCGATAGCCGATCGCAGCTTGCCCCCACGTAGTTCTGGGATTCTGCACACCTCTCGTACTGGTATATACAGAGGCCGATTCGCGCGGCCTATACTTAGCCGTGTGTACCTACAATAATGCATCTGCAGCTAGTATGAATGGTAAATGGGCAGGGGACCACTCGGAGGCGAGCTCGTTACCTGCAGCGCCGCTGTCGATCAAACGCAGCCTTTTCTATAGCACTGCCGAGCCAGAGTCCCGAGAGCCGAAGCAAGTGCGCCCTGCACAGCAGTTACATATGTAATATTTCCCCAGCTTCCCACTCGCAAATCGAAAATCAAGCGTGTCGAGTTTGGATCCACGTTAAGGTGCCCGAAGGCGTGAGTCAATAGCGAGGAGCTGTAATGCGCGTCTCGCTTTAACCGAATCATCGTCGCCGTTCCGAGCGAGCTGCCTGCCGATCGCGAGTCGACCTTACCGAGGCCATAAATCCACGCGGACGAGCTTCGAACGACGAGCGACCCGCGCCATCGCTGAGTAGGTAAACAGCCTCGACGCAACCGTGATAAACGTGCGACTCGGCTCAACTTGACTCGGCTCTGCAAACATGCCCGAGCCTCCGAGCAAATAATTAAGCTCGTCTGGCCTGGGCTACCAATGCCTGCCATTGCTAATCTCTATCCAAACTGATCGAGGGAACCCTCGTTTCGCGAGAGCGTATTCCAGTCCCGGACACCCGAGCGTATAGCGGCGACGCGCGGCTCTTTTTGCAAGTCTAATGCCCCACGCATGATCGTGTTATATAAATGCCCCCCACGAGGGGGGAAAATAAGATCGAATCAAGACACAACTCGTACACCACCTTACTTTCGACCGCCGCTCTATTTTATATTAAAGATTTCGATAAAAAATATTTATTAGTCTCTTTGTCTATGATCGCGTTTCGTGCGCGCCCGACTGCTGATATATTTATTTGAAGATCATAAATTAAGCCATTCGTGTAATAACTTTTGTTCTGGCCTGCAGCTTATTTTTTTCCACCGTGAGAGATATATGTTCAACGTAAACTGCGCATTTTTCCGTGGCTTCTTGAGAGAATTGAAGGTTGCCTCCTGACAGGCGTATTTAAATGATGAATACATTTACATCACGAATATGTCATCAAAAAAAGAATTTTACTACGGATAACAAAAAGGATTAGACGCGAACAAGTGTATATAAAAGAGAAAAAAATTCAGATTGTCAATTTCGATCATTTTTACTCGGCAACAACTATCCCATCGATAAATTAATTCCGAACAGAAAGTAGAGAATTTCTTACTATCGCTCAATATGCAACTTACTAGCGATGTCTTGTACATATAGCTTAAACTAGACAAAGGGAGAGCGTAATTTAACATCGGCTAATCTGATTTTGATTAAAGTTTTAGGCAAAGCGTACGATAAAGAAGCAAGTATAATTAAACGACGTAAGCTTGTATGATAAGCCGATTTTTATTACATTACTTAACATATCGAAAACCATCAAGACCTGTTTACTTTTTCTATCACTCCGAAACTAATGTTTTTTTCTGTGTGATTGATACATTAGAGCAAATAGAAATATTATACAAACTGGACGAAGCGATTTTTGATGTGTAACGTTGTAAGTACGAAATTCACGAATTTTCAAGAAATATAATATATCATTTTTGCTGTAGTAATTTTCTAAAAAAATGAGACCTTGGTTTCTGAATCTTCTAAATTTAATATAATGTGTTCGAATCAAACTTTAATTTTCATTTGACAAATAATTATAAACGACAATGAATCTCTTTTAAAGAATTGTAAATGCATAATTGATTTTTCAGAATAATAAAACTAAATTTATTTGCTTTTAACGCCAAAACTAAGCATTTCTACAAAATTCAAGTTACTAACGCTAGTTTGAAAATTAAATGCGGAACATAAAATTAATCCTTTTCTCTCGCAACTTTTTTCTCACGTATATCATCAACGCAAAATATACAAGTTAATCCTCTTGTACAACATATTTTATAATTAAAATTCGGTAACAAATCAAGTGGTGGAAAGAAAGTTATAGTAGATTTTCTTACAAGGGGGTAAATAGAATTTCCCCAACTTCGCCTTGGCTTTCATGACATGTACATCCGAAAATTTATCTCTCTACCAACGTAAGAAAAAGGCGTAAGTAAAAACAGTAAAATGTACAAAAAAAAGAAGATTTTACTCGGTAATGAAAAATAAATTTAATCCCAACATCGTGTACGTAGAACGTACAAAAGTAATAGCGTAAAGAAAACTTTTATTATTAAACTCACTTTCTTTATAATTACTAAAATACTCCATGCATACAGCATTCAATTGTTCATTTGATAAAATTAAGTAAATTTATAATTCAATATCCTAATAAACTTACTTTTTAGAAATTAAATAGGCTATAATTTCAAAGATTGGGTGTAAAAAACTCATGTATATTTCGCAATATATATTTCAGATATGTTATAATTTCTTCTTCTAAATATTGATTTTATCGTATCAATTTAAAATTTATGCGTGAATATTCATAATAATGAATAACGAATTTGTGTGTTTTCATGTGTATACTTCACATTTAATTATTTATGATTATGGATAATATAAATGAGTTATAAAAATATTCAAGAATTTACAATTTATAAATGTTCGTAAATACATATGGTATATTAAGGATGATAATACACTCTACAAGGATGTACTTTATTTTTGGATATTTTGTTGAAAGGTTAAAGTAAAATAATTAGGCAATAATAGATGTGCTTTGAAATAATAAATCTATATTATACATAAATTGATACGATTAACAATAAGTGAGAAAACTCTAAAAAATTTTCTTAAAATTATCATAGCCTTTTGGTCCCTATACAAAATCTAACTACAAAAGCTTTCTGCCTCGGTAAATGGCACTATAATTTAAAATTTTGTCATAAATTTCACATGAGTGTTTTGAAAATATGATATGAAACTAAGACTAGGGGAACTATGTTAATTTTAATTACATTCTGAAATGGCGTTGATTAATACGTACGTTAATAGAACCTCGGTAATATGCTTTCATTGTAATAAAAATTTGTGTTTATTACCTTGAACAATCAAGGAACAAAAATAAACAATAGTAATTTCTTTGGTATGACAAATGAAAGTTAATAGTGTTTAATGATTACGTACTAACGAATTAGAAAATGGTATTTTCAATCTTACAATTATTCTAAACATAAAATCTTAAGCAAATATAATCGTAGTTATTGCACATTTTTTGTAAAAACTCACATTTTATAAACGACACAATTGGCTAATTTTACTAATTGCATTTCCTGCAATATAAAATATAACAATGTTGAGAACAATTTTATCTGGCTTGTCATAATGAATAAAATCGTGAAAAACTTCCACTTTAATTCTAATAAACTCTAAAATTCTCTTCTAAAACTTGTCAAAATCTAATGGTCATGGTTCATTAATAACGATTTGGCAAATATCTTTATTAATATAAAAATTAAGTCATAAAAATTTAAATTTGCCAATAAGACTTCTGCAACGCATAATATAAATCATTCGTACAAAAAATATATGAATACATGTTTATGTTCTTGTGATAAATTATATCAAATCTATTATAAAAAGCCTACTCTAGAATTAAAAAATAAGCAATATTTTTACAAAGTATGGCTGCGAAAATTGTCACGCTGCTAAAGAGTCCTGATTTGAGCTCTCAGAGTCACTTGGAGAAGCAAATGCAGGTGTTGCAGTAACAGTAACAGCAGCTTTAGGTAGATTGTTTCTCTTGGGTTTTGGAGGAGGTGTAGGTGGTTTAATGTTTTGGCCATCAAGACTGTCTGTAGGTATGGGCATTTTGCTTTTTGGTCTATATACAACAGAACGAGTTATACTCGCTAAACTACTCGTGCTACAATAATTGAACGAACATGAACTCAAAGCATCATCAGGTAAATTGCAATAATCAACTTCGCGAGTTTTGAGTGGTAATGGTGGTGGTGGGTCATCTTCTGAAGCTGTGCTATCAGTTGTGCCAATGCTATCACGATTTCCTTTACCAAGACTCTGAGTGTCAAGTCCATTACTTGTCGATCGCAAATACGTTTGTGATTGGCCAGACCAACGATTACTAAGACGTCGCTCTTTTTCAGCCTCTGATCGCAGAGGTCTTTTAGGCGTTAACTGAGAGCGTAAGCAAATCATGATAAATATTTATACAATTTTGTATAGTATACGTTTGACTAAGCAAAATCAAAACTTTCTTACTTCTTGTCTCAGTTCGAAAACAGGGGTTGAAGGAAGACTTGGCGTTGAAGCTGAAATTAAAGGTGATGATTGGCTCTGGATTGTTGGCTCCGGTGTTGTGTACCACTGACTCGTAGGTTGTTCTGCTTTAGGAGTCACTGAAGCTTCACTTTTTCTATTGCTACGGCGTTTGGTATCTTTCTTTTTGTTCGTTCCTGTATTGGAATTTCCAAGGGCCTTGTGCAAAGATGTCGTCGATAATATATGAGAACGAGTTGAACTACTATTTCTAAAATCGAAATTATAATTATTTAGAAAAAAAAATTTTAATGATAATTTTCATTAACACATTCATCATTCGTAGTTTTTTACATTAGTAGCATTTTACATAAATGATTGGTTGAATAATTTTCGATCATTGTAAGATAAAATCACACTAAGAGTTAATATGAAACACAAATGAAATGTCAACAAAATTATTTTACAAAATATATCTATATATATCTAAATAAAATGGTTTTTATGCGTGATACTTAATTTATTTAATGTTAGGTATTCAGGTTTTTGAACAAAACAATTGAGGTGTTAAATGTTTAAAATGTATTGGTGCTTAATAATGATCCACTTTCTACAAAACGATGATTAAAATTTAATGATTTGATTTTAATAAATATCCTAAGCCATATGAGTAAAAAAACTATTAATAGCTTTTAAAAAATAAATAATTTTTTTGCATTAGGCTTCAGACTGCATAGATGACGTTTCAACTTTTTTTCCAAAACAAAATTATTACCTTGTAAATGCAACACTTGGTAATCCCGAGATAGGATAATTGTTGAAATTAAAGCTTGCTAGAGATTTGAGAGCGCCTACTTGTGATCTTGCGGGTGAAGCAACTTTGGTTCTTTTGTCAACACTAATCATTAAAATTTTTAAAAATTGGCAAACGTTATAATTCAATTAAAATTAAATTGTACATTGTTTTGCTCTAAAAACCGTTCAAGTAAAATAATCCAACACCATTACTTCATAATAGTTTGTAATGTCAATATTAATATTAAATTTAAAATGTTTAAACTCACTCATTGCTTCCTATGCTAGTCTCTGAGAGTCTGTTATTTTCTCCTTTAATTACATTTCTTCTCATAGTTACATAAGGAGTGCTTACTTCTGCTTGCAAGTCGCATGTCTGTAATGATATTTAAATTAAAGATAGGCTCAAAAATTGTAAATTGTCTAATTTGAAATAGTTTTTTACTCTTTTTCCATATCGAGCTTCAACCTGGGTACGCATTGCAGCATAACACTGTTCTAAATGTTGATGGAAAGGCGCAAGATCTACGGATGCTCTAGCTTTATGTATTTTTACTCCAACGCCCAATAAAGGAATTTGTTCAGCAATTAAATTTTCTAGTTTAGCTAAATCTTGAGCATCTTCCAAATGAGAGTCACGATATTCTGCATTTAAAAATGCTTTTTCATAGTTGTCAATTCCACCCATAACAGCTGGATCTAATACTCCATTGAGTTTCATACTTAATGGATTTAAAGGAAGACTCGTGTCAGCTCTGAAATTTGATTTAAATGTAATGTTATTTACATTTTCAATTATGAAGTTCAAAATGAAATTTTTAATTATTGATGTCACCTGTATGAGATGATTAAATCTCTTAGAGTTGCATTGGTAGCTTCCATAGTTTCAATAGCATTACGAAGAGGGCTCACTAAGTAAGTGTCACTATATGTAACTGGGAACCATCTGAGAATACCTGGCAATGAATGACTGATTGCCAATACAGTTCTTTCTAACCATAAAGAGGCAAATTCGTTACTTGGTTCTTTTTCTTTTTCACCATTCATTGCTATGATATCTTTTCTTGGAACTGGTCGTGAAAAGCGGAACTTCTGAACATTATTAACACGATGATATCTAAAAAATATTCAATTTTTAATTAAATGGTTGATATTTCGGAGAAAAACGGTATAAATTTTTCTTATTACAAATTTCGGAAAAAATAATTAATAACTTTATACCTTAAAACAGGTTCAGCAGTAACTGGTTTGCCACTTAATCTGTGTTTCTTTTCGTCCATCACAGGATCAACTTTGCAAATTTGCACATACTGGACATTAGATTCCATTACTTTTTCACTAGGAGGAGACAATTTCATCATTTGTTCAGCGTTTGGCAACTGATTAAGCATTCTTGAACAAAAATCGCTTAATCTTTCGTATTCTTTGCCTCTATATACAAAAACTTTGTTTTGTAAAAAGGCTGGATGGCCCCGTCCATAATAAGCAACCCGAAAATATTCAGGTTCTGGCCTGAGTTGCTTTACAATCGAATCGTAATACTTTGACATTCGTTGTAAAAGTGCCGATAGTTGCAAATATTCATACGTTTCTTCTTCATACTGTGCAGCTAATTCTTTGCAAACACCCACGGCAGATTCCCACATTTTTCCCTTATCAAAATAATCTATAATATCATTATAAAGGCACTCTTTTAATTCGCGATGCGTTTGGCACTTGGGATATCTGCTCGACTTGAGCAATGGCGATAAATTTTTATCACTCCAGGTTAAAAGTTGACTATGAAGTTGTAGCGTGTAAGCAGCTTCAGTAAAATTATCACATTCCAGATGTAGTTCACACAGTTTATTTACATATCTGTAAAATAATAAAATATTATTTTACTAAGAGCTCTAATACATCATGCTAAGTAACTTTCAACTTTTGACGCAATTACGTACCTTATATACATTTCATTTCTGTTGATCTCAGAGTAAAATTCCAAAAGATTAACAGTGCACAGCATGCGATGCTCCTGAGACTCGGTATTTATAATATCACGATATTGCAACAAATGGTCCAACAATCTAGCTACAATATTTACGAAACGCAAACCTGGCTCACGCAATATACTATGATTTTCACACAACGGTGTCATTTCTTTCAACCAAATATCACGAAAATCTTTGTCACCTTTGCCACCTTCGACCTGAAAAATGTACAATATTTTAATTGATTGATTCGAGTAAAAATATCGTAATATTGTAAGTAAAACAAACCAAAATGTCGAGTTTGGCGATCATTTCATTTTCAAAGTCATTGAAATTCGCTTTGACTTTGTTCTTCCGACCGGTTGTATTGAATCCTTCGTCGTTTTTAGGACTGTAAAATTCAGTCTGCATCATGTCGAAGAATATAGGAATAGCAGCTTCTTTTCTCAGTTCATTGTCGGGTATGAGAGCCATTTCAAGAATGGGACCAACTAATTCGGGCACAAAGAGCTTTTTTCGCCCTCCAAGATTGATCCACATTTTATGAATTTCCATGGCCGTGTCGCAGCGCATGTCTTTGTAACGCTCGATGATGCGTTTGTACTTGGTCTGCGAAAAGGTTTCCAGCTGCAACGCCGGCTGAGTGAGGAACGCGATGGCACAGTAAAAGAAGTTTGACCACACTTGGTACTCGAATTCGGCGTTGAACAATTCGCGAATTGTGGCGGCAAAAAAACGCATGGCTTTCAGTATCACGCTGTTCTGAAGCATGATCATATCACACCAATCACTTGGAAAAACATTTCGCGACACCAGATCTTTAAAGACCATCAGTACTTCCATCAAAAAGTCCAAAAGATCGTACTGCGTGCCGAAGTGCTGAATGTATATCTCGTAGTGCTGCTGATTCATTTGCCTGCAATGTTTGCGTATATTTTTTTTAACTTCCGCTCTCCACCGCGAGATAAGGACTGTGGTATGGACGGCGGATATACAAACCTAAATATAGACAGCATGACCGAGACCAGATTTCCGACTAAAGGATTTTCTTTGTCCATATTCACCGATGTTTGAATGATGGTCCTCAGGGTCGTCAACATGATTTCCTTGATGTCAGAAACGGTAGAACCGATGTCTTTGCGAAACGTTAGATCCAAAACATCCGACAAAATTTTAACGCACAGTTCAACCTATAGTGCAGGATTAAACGACAATTTTAAATCTGACCGGTTTTCTTTGGCAGTGATTACCGAGCTCTCGAGCTACGAAGAGAAACCCTTCGCTCTCAAAGTTAATAGTATTAGTTAAATTGGTTGAAAAGATCAGCCAAGTTCAAAAGTAAATATCAAAATACAAAGCCATATAGAATAAATAAATTAGAAAAACGCGTCTAAATCAAATTACCTCTTCAGAATAGCCACGATGCTGGTTCAGTCGATGCTTATTTTCACCGAGCAGCCTGGCTACCTTTGCCACACTCTTGCCAGGTGTGCCCGACAGTCCCTTTTATATTCGCGAGCGAACAACCAAAAACCGTACCAAACACAACAACAGATAAAAAAAGGGTAAAAATAGACCCGAGGTTAGTACAAACTTCAGCAAAGAATACATAGTCAAATATTTTCATCATAAGTTCAATTAAGTATAAACAATTTTCATTTATACAATATAGTTTACTATAAAATTTTTATAGAAGAGTAGAAGTAAAGAGTTTTTCAATAAAGCCTTGATAGTTATGATTTTGCAATGTTGTTTTTATTGTTTGTTAGTGTATTTTGAAGTGGTTCCTATTTTCTATAATTTATAAATAAATTTAAATTATTATCAATGAAAAAAATTTTAATTCAACAATTTTCGCATGAAAAACTAATGTCAACTAAAATAATGAATGTTTATCATAATAATGTACGTCATTTAAATCTTAGAATAAATGTTCCTCCAAAAATGTTTTCAAAAATGTAATATCAAATAAATATTGTATTTTACGTCAAAAAATAATCTTTTAAAAAGTAAATGAATAAGCAAAACTTGATAAAGTAGTTGATAAGATAAGTAACGCACTAGAGTACAATATATCTTTTTGCTGTGTCTCGAAAGATTGTGACAATCACATTTCACGTTGATTCGATACTAACTAACTGTCATCTAAACATATCAAACAATCCAATTTTTTCCAACTTTGCATTGCTAGTAAAGAGAAACCTAAGCCAAGGTAGATGTGAGAATTTTAAAAACTGTTTTCCAAAATTTTCACCGAATATTTATCAAAATATATTTAATGAAAAATAATCAAAAAGGCAAATAATCTCCTTGACTTTGGTAACTACTACTCAATACATTTTTATCGTTTAAGTTGTTTGAGTTGAAATTTTTTTAATTTTCATGATAAAAATTATTCATCGTTCAACGTCAATTACCGAACTATTTTTCAATAAGATTTAATCACAGTTAATCAATAATGCATTCAAGTTAAATCTTTTTTTAACTGACAATTCTTATAAAATTTTAAACTTGTTTCTAATAAATAGTCTAAGAATAATTTTGTACCTAATCAACTTTTTTTCAGCTGATTTTCGGCAGTTGACGTATTATCTTGTAAATATAAAGCTTTAATTACTAAGACATCATTTTCAATTGATTGAAACTTTTACTGTCATGCTTGTTTAATAACTATTCCTACAAATGTGCATGCTATATCTAATGTTTAGAGCATGTGATAGTGCAATTCAAATCAATTAGCATCTATTACGTCCAAAATGATAATTAGTGATAAATGAATGATAAATAAAATTAAGAATTGGTTTCTCGTCTGATTTATATTGTGAAACATGATAAAGTTTGATTTAAAATCAAATTAATCGTATAAAATAGCATTTCTCTGGAAGGCAAAGGTCAAAAATATGAAAGCCTAAACTGAAGCATTTTCAAATGTGGTTTAATGTTTGTGTGTATATGTATGTGTGGGTGCAGGTGTATAATGCAAGACGATAGGACGTCAGGCTGCACGGCAAATAATAAGCGGATACAGGTTACACTGATTCACCAGCATTAGAGAAATCATCATTTTATGAAACTACGAGAGCAAATTGTTAGTATGTACTACATGCCTAATGCTAAATGCACTACTAATCAGGCTGTTAATCACGATGGAGGTGTGAAAAAATGAGATTACCTCCTCTTTGGTTTCCAATAAATCTCGAACAAGAATTGTGATCCGCGGTAGCAGAATTTGCCGACACTCGACAGTCAAAAATAATTGACTATGCACAATATCATTGACTGTCATCATCTTTTGCTTGGTCAATCTGCCAACTGGCAGGGTGACCAACAAATCGATCAGTATCATGCTCAACTGCTTACCGCTGTAGACCTTTAGTAAATACGGTATCGTAGATGGCAAGTATTTAAGACAAGCTCCTTGTACTAGTAGGACGGCATCGGCTTTGTACTTCATCAGTTCAACGATCGATCTTAACAAATCGGTTAAACTTTGCGAAAATTCTTCGTCGTCTTCGTGCAATCTAAAATGAGATTTTTATTATTATACATATACACCGTTATGAATTTTTACAAAAGACTGTACGTACGCTATAAACAACAAACGAGACTCAACGATAAATCGCATACAGTATTGTAAATTTTTCATCGTTTTTAAAAGAATATCTTTGTCAGCTGGACTGCATTCACTCGCATTATCGATTCGCTTTTTTAAAACAGCTATCAACTTTTTATATGCTAAAGTTGCAGAAAAACTTTCAGAAATATATAAATCTAAAACTGGCTGAAAGTGTTGATATTTTCGATCAGACACTAAGGAAATTATGTATAAAAGGCACTCGAAAACGATGTCATCGTAGTCATTGCTATCTGTGTACATTCTTAATATATTGAACAAAGCATCTAAAACATCCTGAAAAAAAATGTAATAAGTAAAGTACATTTCATAAACTAGTTATACTTTTGTGAAACATCATCACTTACCTGTAGAAATTTTACAACTTCTTCACCATCTACCTTCATTAATGCTAAAAGTGACTCTTTTAAATCTGTATTGGAACCACACCAGTTCAATAATCCCAATAATTTAACATTTTGTGTTAACTTGGTCGAACAAACATTTGTATTTATCAAAAAGTTATCTTTTGAAGATAAACTAATAAAACCTAAACTTGGCTTTTTTTCTAAATTCATTGCATTCTGAAATAATTAACGATAATTTTAAGAATTAAATGTTACTCAACTTTCGTCGAATGAAAAGAAATAAAACTTTTTTTTAATTTACCATTTCATCTTTGGTAGATGGAAGTTTCAAATAATTGGTATCATTTTCATCGTATTTTTTATTGTCAATCTTGTATACTAGCAATTCATGTTCTTTATCTTGTAATGTGGTACCATTAGATTGCATGAGTTTCACGTAACTCATAGCAAATGGTTTTTCTAATTTATCTTTAGCTTCATTTGAGCTTCGATGTTTAAAAGTAAATTTCAAATGTGCTAATTTGAACTCTTCTATTGGAACAGCAATTTTGAATGTTTCATACCACTTTGGTTTGTCTTCATGATAATAAATGACACTACGGTATTCATTAATTTTATTCCCACCACCACCAAGAGAAATAACTCCAGGAATAGCAACACCTTCTTCATTGCATACTTTTACTGTGACTTCAACATTCTTATCTGTAGATTTAGAACCTCTACTAAATTCCCCACTTACTAATGTCAAGTATAAATCATTTCGAACATCTCCAGGTAATATTACTTCAGGAAATCCCATTTTGCGTGCAACTGATACATTGCCAAGAACTAAATGTGGGTTCTCATCTCTCACCTAAGGGACAAAATTGTAAAGTATAAATTTTATTAATAACAATAAATTTTTATAAATTAAATGGCAAAAATCATTATGTACCTGTTTGATATCACCTCTCAACAATTTTAAGCTGCACCACAAACCTTCACCAACATGATTTCCAATACTATTTTTTTGTAAACTAACTTCTTTTTGAGTAAAAAACCGCTTCAATGTTGCATCTAAACTTTCTTTTTCACAACTACTGAAACAAATGCATACAAAAAGTATCACAGAACAAAAGTTAGTTTAAATTAAAACACTTACTGCAAAAAGGGTATGTAGTGTTCAACTTCTGGATCACCTTCTAATTTACCATTTATAAAAACAGTTACATCCATAGCAGCAACTCCAAAAGGCCTTCTCATATTTTCTTGACCTTTGTTTTTTTGATTTTGCAATGAACCGGAACGTCTTTGATCAATCTCTTTAACTTCCATGCTTCCAACCCTAACAGCGTAACAAACTAAATAAACTTTTTCTCTAGATAAATCTCGACTTCCAAGATCCGTGAATAAAACTTTGAGATTATGTAGTTGGTCGATATCTGTCATGAGGCCTTGTTTACTCCACGAAAAAACATAATTTTCCGTAATAGCTCTGTTTTCTTTAGTATCGTACAAGGTAAGTAGCAGTTCAACATCTTCGATCATTTTACATACAAAATTTCTAATATTAACAAAAAATATGTAAGAGTAAACTGGTGCTTGTGGTTTGGTTGGTTTCTTTTTGGTTTCAATAGCAGCTTTTCTAATTCTCTCAGTGGCATTTTCATGCTGGTAATATAATTGCACCGTGCTAGTATGTTCTGGATTTAATATATTACCATGTTCATCTCTTACGACCATATCAAGTCCTAGCAATTGGTTACCACTGTCAATTTTAGATGTGGCTAATCGTTTCATATCCTTCAATTCATCAACTGTTAATGTGCCACTTAAAATTTTGACACGATACTCTGCAACTTCTAGGATTAACTCTCTCATTACAGTAAAATTCTCTGAGCGTTGCTAGAAGAAAAAACGAAATTAATAACTGCACATCATTGATTGAAATATTAATAAAAAAATTAGTTTTAATACATACAACATAAAGATTTTTCCAGTAAATTCCCCATTCCCTGAGAACGTTTGTAATTTCGCTCATAAATGGTTCTAAACTTGGATTTTTTTGTATAATACAGACGTAAGATTTCGGGAAAATTCCATATTTCTTTTCGTGTTTTTTGCAACCATAGTACCATTCTTGGCATTCTCGTTTTATTGTGACAGCGTCGCCAACGCTGAGGAGCAATCGAAATTCTCCTTCTTGAGTGAAGTTGTAGATGGCTGAAATGAATAAAATATTTGAAATATTAAAAAACATTATAAAAATCGCAATATACTTTATTAGGCGGAAACAATCATAGAGATTTCAAGGGGCATGAATCATTGGATCGGGAAAAGCCTGAGTCATATTGGCATTTCTCTGCTAAGAAACGAAGCTGGGAATAGGTAAGAATATACAGAGAGACAAGATCAATCAACTACAAAGCAATTATCGCTGAGAGTCATACACGAGTCGAGAACAAGGATCAGAGTTGCAGGTAAATCACGATCACAAAGCTGGCAAGGTAAAATCGAAAAGAAGCGAGCGCAGCGCAAATAAAGAAAACAGCCGAAAGAAGTGTCGTGCGAATCGTAATAATTAGATTGTAACTTACCAACGCCCATCTGATACTCCTTGAGCTTCTTCCATGTCATTGTCATCATTGTGATGCTCGAATCGCTCGACGAGCATATAGATGCCAGTCAAATGCTCGTTTGCACAGTAAAATGAAAAACAGCAGCCTGCCAATGCTACTGCAGCGAGTATAGCGAACCAACACCAGTTGCTCACAAGTGCAGACTGCCCAGTGCAGCGAGCAGCCGCACGATCGTATACGTGCGAGCGTATACACACAAGCGTATTATACGCAAGGCCTATGTAGACTGCAAAATAGGATCTTTCACTCGGCGATCTCGCTGGATCCCGAACTAAGCGCAGTTGGCGCTTTGATGTGTATCGGCTGCAGCTGCACAGTGCAGGTATAACGAGCGCGATAACAGGTTGGCTCTGCTCGTGTTATGCTTGGCCCTGCAGAGCAACGACAACGATAAGAGCCGCGAGCATAGTTCCCTCGATTCGATAATTAATTACATCTACAATCTTGAATACACAGACACATCGCGACTGCCGAGATAAAACTCGAGTCGTCGAGTCGTCACCGAACGATTACGCACGCCACGATTATTCACTACTGCACTGATGCAGTATCGGCTTTTGTATGAGCCGTAGCGATCGCGGATCAGCAGCGAGGTGTACACTATCAACACATGTAAACACTAGGAAGGCACTCATCTGCTGCTGTGCTTTGGTTATCCAGCTTCTTCTAATTCCAAAGCAAATAAGCACTACAGCACTCGTGTACGGCATACAAGAACGACTGCTGACTCGTTTATAGGAGTGAGAATTGGCGCTAGTCGCTATATACACGCTACACACTACACAGACGTATACTGCTGTAAGCCTGCGGGCTGCGGTGGTCGACGAGACTCGAGACTCAGTCGTCACTCTAAGAGTCGACAGTAAATAATATACATCGTACGTGCAGTCATCCGCTACACTTACCCAAGTGCCACTCTCAACGGCTTCCAATACATGTATGTAAGTCGAGGCGATGGAAGACAAATTCCTAATTACGTTTAGTTTGGCTCATATATAGCGTATACTTATGAACGGAGCTGCCGAGCTCAGCATTTGCCGTTTGCGGAGAAGGAGGAGGACGGTGTGTAATGTGTGTTGGTGTGCGGAGGCAGCACACGGAGTACAGAGCGGGGGGTCCCACGATCTCGGCTCGGCTCTCTGCGGACTCGGATGCTCGCTGCGACTTGCGATGGACGGATCACTCCGCGATGTATCCCGACTGCTACTGCGCTCTTGAAATTCGAGCCTCTCCCGACAAATCGAATATCTCGATCCTGAGTCAGGAAGAATCGAGCTCGAGCTTCCCTATTTACAGATCGGACGATCTAGACCTGCTTTCTCGATCACGAACTCGTCGCCCCTTACTGGCAACGAATTGCGTTACATCTACGATGATTTTTGCTGATTCCCCACGAATTACAGGGGAAGCAGCGAAAGAAGCTGATCGGAAATTAGCTCATATCCAGGACGTTGAATTACGAGCTGGTGGCCGCTTGAACGGTATATGTAACGCAGCGGCTGGAGAACGTTTGCGCGACTGCATACGGATGGAGCGTAAATAAAAGCCAACACGTGAAGGCGACTCGTATACTAGAGCGACGATGGGGGACCTCGATGTATCGTCCGTTTGGTCGTTCCGAGTTTGTAGGCCTATAATAACACTACTGGCGGTGCGTGGGAGTCTGCGACTCTGCGCGGCCCAGCCACATCATATCTACATGGTACACATAACACAGGGGACTTGTGGCATAATTATACACATTGACATATGACGTTATAAACGCTTGCGCGCGCGCTGCTATGTGTGACTTTCGGCTTACAACTTGCCGAGTGCAGAATTGTGACCCACTACTGACTGCAGCCTTAATGAAAATGAAAATAACAAATAAGCCATGAATGATAATGAAAATTGCTTTTAAAAAAACGTGAATGGTCCAATCATGAACCAACAAATTCAATAAATTAGACCACGATAAGTGTAGAACCGACCACATACAGAATAGCCTGACCTAAAAATTATTCATCCTCTTCTAATATTATAATTTTCATTAGCGATTTGTTTATTTGTTCAAGTTTTTCCTTTTTGTGAATTTGTCAATTCATTGTAACTAAAATTGTTACGTTTAATGCTCGCAAATATTAATCTCATATACATTTTTCCATTTTTGAAGGCATAGAATTTTCGCTGTTTTCACGCAAAAATTGAATCAAGTTATATCCCGGTTGAAGATGGATGCAAAGTCACTTAAAATATCGAAGTAATTTTTTCTCTGAATATCCCATTTTACTGAACCTTAACAGACTTTAGGTACAACAGCTCGTCCTTTCAAAATGCTGTCGGAAACGTTTAAATCGAGTTTAGGGTGTCTTTTCAAAAATAAGTTCTCTGGACCTGGTCTATATATTTGCGTTCTCCACAGTTTTTTTCTCGGTATAAATGAACGAAACTGTTACTTTTCAACGGAAAGTTCGATGACACACGAATTTTGCACTCATTCGAAAATCCTTAACAAATTGTCCTATTGCGACGTATTCTACTGAGGGGAAATTAGATTTACGACCAAATAAGGTAATGAGTTAAATTTTTTAATAAATGATGAAAAATTCAATAGCGAGAGTGTATAGTTAAAGCCTCATTATTGATAAAAATCAATTTCAGCAGCTCCTAGCTTTAAGGCATTTCGAAAACATTTCATGTATGACTCATCTAAACTCGTCAATATCAGTACTGTTTTTTAAAGAAATAAAAAAATTCCTTGAACTCTTGCAAGACCTTTGAACGAAGTTGAAAACAAAAAGAATAAACAAATTTTGAGCACATTTAAAAGTTTTTTACTAATTGTACCTCAATACAATATTTCAACGTTATTTTGGAAAATTAGATTTTCCGCGTTTTTTGAAGAATCTAAATTTATTCTCTTAAAATTTTAAATAAAAGTTGTTTATATTTTAGATAAATTCAATAGTTTTATAAACTTTACTTTTAAACTTAATAGTTTCCAAAAAAATATTAGTTTAGTCTTTAGACGGTTCCGACGCTTTTTTCAAAAAATTTGTTCACAAATTCCATCAAAATTTACAGCTGTACCTTAACTGTCGTAATCATTGGTCATATTTAAATCATGAATTTTTTTTCGATATCAAAAAACTTTTTTAAATGGATCTTTTGTTGATAATCTTTCCTAAATACCAAACAATTCGATATATCTTAATACAATAAAAGAAAAAAATTACTATGAACAATACTTTTTTATTTAGTTAAGTAATCACAAAGTTCTGACATATGTATATGCACACCTCTAACTTTAACTTTAAAATACACTTTCTGAAACTGAGATGTTAAAAAAATTTAATGAAACAAAAAAGTATTTGAAGTCCATACAGCGATATTCTTAAAAAAGTCTATATTTATTTAAGTATTACAGTTTTAATCATATCAATTAAAAGGTAAAAAAGAATGAAATTTACTTACGTTTATATTATAAACATTGAGCGGGTAATTAAAAATCAGAATATTTGTGTACATAAAAACATTATATTAAACCAAATTTTTTATCAATATACAGTTATTTTCTAATATTTATATTAGAATATTAATTGAATGGTTACATTATACAGGTGCGAATACATTAACGCTTAATGTGGGTACGTTTAATATCTTTATTAAAAGTATAAAAGTGTTTAACTGATTAATAACAAATTTTTATTCATTGAATTTTTATTTTTCGAAACTAATTAAATTGCAAAATAATATATTTTGTCATTGAATTTCATATATGTTTATTCGTAAATAATACGTAGAAATCATTTGTACATTAAGCATTCAGACATTTTTACACAGAATTATCCCTAAATCACTATTAAAATCCATGAAATCTAATTCTAAAGCTAATATAACTTTAGAATCTCTGCGGCATTAACGCTAGTCTTTGGAACTTTAAAAAATCTATCTGCATACACGTAATTATATTTAAATAATTTACAAATAGTTACTCTAATTGAAAAATCTAAGGAAGTTCTTAATAATAGATTTAATAAAGCTACAAGGACAAGCCTATTATGCTTTTTATAAATTAAGAAATATCACATTAAGAAACTAAACCGAAGAAATCAACTCACGTAACGGATTTTAATGAAAAAGACAGCTTAGGTCTGGAGTTGTTTTTGCCAAGGATTTTTTTCTGTTCTTCTTTGACGCGTTTTTCATGCTCTTTTCGCATCTTTTGTCTTTCCTCCTCCATGAGTCGCTGCTCTTCAACCATAGCAAGTCTTTCTTCAGCCTAAAATAATAAAGAAAATATGAAAGAAATGATTATTTAAACTTATTTTTCGTTATAAAACTGGAATTATGAGTTTATTAAGTGGAGAAACAAGTAAGTGATTCGAGAATCAATTTTATGACTGAACTCATAAGTGAATTACGTGCTTGGTCTTTACTACTTTTCTTCATCCGTGAGCGAAATACGAAATATAATTTACGCACGAAAACCCATTTTTCACGCAATTATGCAAAAAAATTGATAATATTAAAATACTTACAAGTTTCTTTTGTGCTTCCTCAATTTTCCTGTTGTTTTCTTCCAAAATCCTCTCAAGTTCCTCACGTTTTTTCCTTTCTTCTTCCTACAATGACATGAGATTATATTTATATTGTGTAATAACACCATTGGAACAACTCATTTTGTTAAACCTTTTTATATAAATCCAAAATCAAGGTGCTGCTATTAAACCTATACCTTTTCAGCTTGCCTTGAACTTTGTTAGAGGAATAGATTTTAGAAGAGTAGGAAAAATTAGAAATGTTTTAAAAAGAATCACTCAATGAAAAACAACTTAAATTTCCTGTAAAATAAGTTTGGTTTTTTTTTGAAAATTACAAACTTAAGAACACCATCGATGGTATCCGTTTCAGTTCATGAAAGTCACAACTGTTACAGAACATTAAACATATTTCTTGCAACAAAGTAACTCAATACCTTAATAATGTCTCACTATATTTTATATGTGTCAAATTCTTTCACTGATGGTTATTAACCTGTTTGAAATGATTTATTTTGCTGTTCCTTGTGTATAAATGAAAATAATATCAATTGTTTCAAAACAAAACTTACAACTTTATGGCATGCTGGTACTAGAATTTATGGTCATCCCTAACTAGATTCCTCACATTATAAAAATGTTGAATAAAATTTTTATGTGAATTATGAATATATAAATTGGATAATACCTGAATGAGTCTCTCACCAGCTCACGAAGAGGATGCTTTCTTCATCAACAATCATACGGCAGTGAGTAAAATACCCGCTTCTTCTGTTGGTAGTCAGTTAGAAAGGTGACCTATATTTTGCTAGGTCGTGCTTTGTCGTTACAAGATTGACTTTAAACTGGCCTTGCCAAATTCTACCTTGCCCGTTTCAACCATTTCCTTAGCTTTTTCAGTTTTACTCACGTAATTTAATTGATTTTCCACAAATTGTCAATGACTTAATTAAGCATGATGATAAAACAATTTTACTAATTTATCATATTGAAATTGCAAATCAATTGAGATGATTTTGTAAAAGCGAATTCCAGAAAAAGTTAATCATTACACATACAAAATGTTTATATCTTGATTCTTTCAAAATATTAAATTATATTATTTTCAAAAAACTTTGTTCAAATGTTGAATGAGTAAACTATACTTGATAAATACCCGAACTTGATTAGGATTGTTTAAAGTAGATAAGTGTCAATACCGTCTACCATATTAAAAGCTGTAGAAAAACTATTGTGCTAAATTTTGTTGTAAAAACTGCACATCAGACATTGGTTCTTCATGTTTCATATGCAGACATGTACAGATATGCACATTTATTTTTAGAGAAAAATAAACTCATATGTGGATACATGTCATGTTGGATACATTTAGTCATTCACAAGTAAGTCACATGCGCCTATCTCTTAAAAGAACCCTTTATTTACAGGACTGTATAAGCAGCAATCAACTGTAGGATCTCAAAAGATGCTGGACGATAGGAAGCACTGAGGTTCTCAAGAACTCTTTCAATTTTTCAAATATTTTCAACCACAATGCTTCCAGCTCGAATACATAAATGCTGCTAAGGTATTATAAAATATTATTTGATTTTAATAGTACTCGATTGACTTAAATTGAATGATAATTAAAAAAGTATTTAAATATCATAGAACTTGTTTGTTCATAATACAAGAGAACAAACTTAACATTAAGTTTCATGTAAAGTTTTAGCAGCATTAGCATTTGAGCTAAGTACCTATAAATCTACAGATAATTCTTACCTCTCTTCGCTTTTCCTCTTCTTGTAATTTTGCTTGTCGCCATTCCATTTCCTCCATCATCTGCCTTTCCATGGCTTTCTTAGCCTCTTCTACTCGCCTTTGAACTTCTGCTTCAATTTCTTCTTTACGTTTTTCTAATTCTTCATCAACTCTTTTTTGTACAAGGTCTTCAATTCTTTTGGCAGTTTCTTCTTCAACAATTTTTGCTTCTAATTCTTTTTGTTTTCTAAATTATGTAAAAAATATACATATAAAGTAACTATAACCATTGACCCTACATGCTCCAAGTTCTGAACAAATGTGTACTATGCATAATGAACTCACCGTTGTCTTTCCAATTCTGCAAGCCTTCCAACTTCATCTAACTTGACACGTTCTCGTTCTCTGTAGGTGCGTTTTTTGTGAGATACAATGTGTATGTCGTCAGAATTATCCGTGTCACTGGTAGATGATATAGAATGTGAACGTTTCCTGCAATTTATAATGTATGTTTTATTCTTTGATTAAAATGGTTGGATGCGTTATTGAAAATTTTTTTAAAAAAAATTTGTGGTTTAGAAGTCTTTGTTTGTTGTAACATGGTTTTCGGTCTGTTGAATGCTTATTTTTCATGTAAAATATTGAAAAAATAGTATGTAAAAGTCTATATAAGAACATAAGAATGAGTGGGAGTGGCATAAATTAGTTGGTCATCACTCAGATAAGCACTTGACATAAGAGAATAAACAAAGAATTTCAGATATAGCAAACAAAGCAATAATTAATTGAGAAATGTTAAAAAAAACGTGATTGATATGAACTAAGTTCTTACCTGGATTTCGAGCTCTTCTCGCGTGGTTTGTCGGCGTATTTACTGTTGGAGCGTTTTTCTCGAGATTTTGATCGATGCTTGTGTGAATGTTTGCTCTTGTGGCGTCTGCGGCTACTGGGAGACTTGCTACGCGATCTCGACCTGCCCATTTTGACCTGCAACGAGGATTCGATAGCTGGGGAAACGGAGTTTTGGCGACTGCGGCTACGGCTACTCTTGTGACGATGCTGGTGTTGCAATGTGGACGTACTGCGTAATACGTCAAGGGATGATTTGCCAGCTAGTTCAGCTACAGCTGCGTAATGGTCCATATACTTATTCTGGCAAACTTGGAGTTCAACTGCTCACTGTAGCATACTGAACTATTGACTCAAAGACGATAGCTCGCTCAAACCAAAGACTCTCACGAGAACTATACGTGTGAACTGAAGCAGCGCCTCACATATACTAAGTCGACGGAGTGAATAGCTATAGTTATACAATACACTATACGCATTGAATATGACTATTAGAATGCCAGAAAACTAGTTGAACACAAATTATTTCAGACTTGAATAATCGTATTAGAGTACAAGATCGATGTCGCAATTTAATATTGATTAAAAACAAACCCGTGATGCAAAGTGACGGAGGGCTGCATCTATCTATGTGCGATGTGTACACATGTAGTAGAATTTGGTTATAATTTATAATGCTACATGCCCTGATGTGTAAGGACCTCTGGTAGTAAAACTGTGAATCAATCTGAAAAGCGAACTAAGGAATAGTCTGCAGTAGCACCATCTAAACTTTTCGGAATTTTTTGCGCACTTAAATTATGCGTGTTGTTGTATTTAAATTCAGGGATTTAGCTTGAAAGCGTGTAATTTCATTTATCTTGCATCTTTTGTGTCACATCTTTTTAAAAATACTAATCGGGAGATATTTAAATCAATTAATATCTATTACCTAAATTTGTTGCAATTTTTGTAAAGTAATTTGTCAATCAAGCAGATTTCGTTCTTTTCAGGGCTCGATCGGTAGCAGTCGAGGTTGAGGCATCATCTTAAAAAATAAATTTGTATAACTTTTTTTTTAGATTTCTAGCAAGTACGTGCATAAATGTCCTCGTTTTGTTCGATTGTGGCATTTTCAGTTTTATAAAATATGTCAGATATAAAAAACGGGATTGAAAATGTTAATATGAATTTTGGATTGAACATCGTTAAAAGTAAGTTACTAAATGACTGAACTATAAAACTGTAAAAGCTCGCGATACGAAGGGATTAGAAGTAAGTCAGTGAGAACAAGTCAAAGTGATCGTTGATAGAGAGTCTCATTCGATCACAAGGTTTACGGTTGAAACGAGCGCCGTCCGCGCGATTGGCAGTCAGTCCGCGCTCGCGTCTGCTTGCAAAGAGTCGCCATCTAACGTCAAGCTACGGCGCAATAATAGCATGGCACTTTTCTATTATGGATCATGGATGGCTTATAAGTTGTAGTAGCGCGCGGTGGTCCCCTTCTGACCCCCTCGGCTGATCGTATTATTATTGTAATGTTTCGTTGTGCTGCGTGTTGTGCGCGACTGCTCGAGGTACACAACCCGAACTCGGCTGCGAGCAACGAGCAGCAGCGAGCGACAGCCACCGAAGACGAGTAGCAAAACAGCGAGCTTCGGGACTTTCTGCGCCACTGCAAGTACAGTCGCTGCATTCCCAAAGACTGGCCAACACGGCCTTAATACATAAACAATTGACGCGAGTCGAGCTAAATTTGTGAAAACCTCGATATAACTCGATATAACTCGGTGCATTTTCTTGGCGTTACGAGAATTCTACTGCTACTCACTGCTGCTGCTGCTGCTGCTGCTGCTTGCTGCTATCGCTGCTCCACTGCTCTTAGTGCATATAAATTGAACAGTGTCACTCGTAGTTGAGAGCTGCTCTAGAGTAAATAGGGAGTCAGTGGACCTTGACGGAGACTCAGCTCGAAGCTGTCGCGCGACTAGCTGCTCGTTTACGCGCGTGATCGTGTATACGAGTGTACGTGTGTTTACGTGAATTCGAGCTTGGCCGAGAGTTCAAGAGAGCAGTGCATGGCCGCAAGAGCAAGAGCAGCATCGCCGAGGACACGTGAATCGCAGACTGGGCGAATTCGATGCTGGAACGAGCGGTTGCGCGACTCCACGGACTGCGAGCCCTGCGACGACGAAGACGACGACGACGTCGCGATTCAAAACACTCGCTTGGTCAGAGGTTATTAGAATAGCATTGGCAGTTGCAGCGATTCAGCGCACTGCTCCTCCACCGCTGCTGCTGCAAGCCAGTCGGCTCGCTCGTTGGCAATATTTTTGCTTGCAGTCTCTCTTGGCGAGCAATCGCTCCCAACACCCAAGTGCACTTATATAAATATACTTGCGCTGACGACTGCATAAGACAACGGCTGCTCTCTGATGTATACAACACATACACAAGTACGACGACGAATTACGAGTCGCCAAGCAGAGTAGTTATTGTTACTACTGTGATCATTGTACCGACGGCCTAAAGCAACAACACCTGCAACGGAAGCTATTGCTACTGCGATTGCACCAGGGGGGACAGTTCAATCGAGCACGATCTGCGTAACGTATCCTACTCGTCGTCGAGTCTATTCTTTCTCGCGCAAATACACACCGATATATGTATATATCTCATCTTTTGTGCTAGTGGCAGTTCAAGTGTGAGTTGGTTCGTCGGTGTTTGCAAGTGTGAGTCGTGAGAGATCACGAACTAGAAAATACAGAGCGAGAGAGAGAGAGAGAGAACTATAGTGGTACGGAGGTCAAGGTGCTACGAGAGCGAGGGAGACGAAGACGGCCCGTTTTTCGTGAAACGCGCGCGTGCGACAAATCGATCGGTCTCTCTCTTTGCTGCTATTGCTGCTCTAGTATCAGCTGACTCGGCACACGACGCTCGAATCTCGCTGCATTCGCAGTATCTCGCGCGCGTCACAGTGCAGTGGATCGCGACCGGCCTCCGTCGACAAGTTGCTCGAGGCAACTGGTCCCTCCGTCGCATGTGTCGCCTTGCTGCATCTTCGCCTCGTCGCACTGGCCCGCCGCCGTCGCCGCTGCCGCTGCTGCTGTTGTTTTGCTCTCGTCGTTCGATGCTGCCAGCAGCCGCTGCCACTCCTCTCGCTGCCCAAAGGCCGCTGTCGTTGCTGCGAGCCTAGCCCAGCGTCTCCAGGACAGCTGCAACAACGACCAACGACGACAACAGCAAGAGGAGCTAGCACCGCTATCTCGACGCTACCGGGTCGTACTCCATCTACGTAGATACTCGTCGAGCCCGAAGCCTAGCCATTAACATGGCCTTCAATCAGGTGAGATTTTCTAAACCTTTTCTACCGAGTTTTAACGCCACCCTCGGGCTCTTTTGAAAATTATTCCCGGAACTTTTTTCATTGGCGTTCCTACGCGATTACATCAGCGAGGAATAATCATTGGCACGAGTTGCTTGTTTCGCGCGAGAAGTGCAGCAGGATCGACTGGCCCTTGCCGGCTTCGAGTGCAAAACGAGTCGTGTTGCCGTGGTCTCCAAGAGCAAAGTATACTTGCTCGAACGAAATAAGCACGGCGTTCAGACGCCTGCGAACGCATCCGAGCAGCTCGCGTGCACGTACGGCTAAAGGTAAACATACACCTGGCTACTGCTGATCGCTTTGTGCCTGCAGCGCGAGCTACCATGCCTGCGTGCTCGCTGCACACATTGCGTAACATCGACGCGATCGTTTCTTTTTGCCAACTTTTTTCCGCAATCGTTAACTGTAGTGGAATGTTTACATGAGAATTTTCAGCCTTTATTGCGATTATTATATTCTATACCTGTGTACTTGCTTCTTGCGAACTTCAAATCTATCGTTCTTTCATCGGTACTTATGTAGACTATATCAAATAAAGGCTCGAATGATCGTTTGGGATTTTCCGCGTTTTTGCGCTCTCACATCTCTGCGTAATTTCCTCGTGAGCACACGAATGCCTGTACGTTATTGATGCGTGCACGATTTGATTCGCCTGCACATACACGCGTAACTGATTTAGTTTCAAAAACCATACACAATTTCACGTGCAAACTAAAAAACGAAACTTTTCTCCTATGCATTCCCCGAAAATATTGCAGAAAATTTTGGATCAGTTGCCGATCCGGCTACTACTATTATTAATGCATACTAATCGTAAACATGTCTCATTCGACGAGCTTAGGGCAGTCGTGACGAGAAATTATACGTGCTACTTGATTGGTTTTTAAAATAATTCGTTGCTCCCTGCGCGACGAACACGCGTGTAGTTAAGTACTGCTATTTTCTTACTCTTTTTCTCTTCAATTTCCTGTTTTGCTGTGCGAGTTGTTTCTCGTACCGAGATCGAGAATCCAGAGAATCGTAACTGCAGAGCGTCATCTCTCGAGTTTCTTCTCTCTCCCTGCGTGTCTCTTTTGTGTAGCGACAACAATGAAACATCACGATCTGCGCTGCTCTTCTGCAGGCACTCTTATTGACTTTAATTAATGCTTCGATGACTCTAAATATTAGGCCAGCGTGAAACATAAATAAAATAACCTACGCATCTTCGCTATTTCCTGAATTTCTTCTACTGGTGCAATTATATACCTTGCAATTCAATACTGTTTTACTCTTAAATAAACGTACTTTCGTCTTATCAAATATATCTGCCGATAATATATTTTCATAATATAATATTATTAAGCGCTTCAAATTGTATCCAATTTTTTCACGTTAAAAAATTCAAGAATAAATAATGAGGATCTAAGATGATGTGTTTACCATTTTTGCTCAATCCTTCTCTGACTTTATTTTTCGACATTGACTCGGCTTAGCGATTTTGCTTTGATAAGTGAACGCGATAGGTAGAATTTCTGAAACCCTTTTCAGAGCCATCAATAGTATATTTTTCACCAGATGCAGTTGCGGTTTTTTAGCAAAAGAAGTGATTACAGCCCGAATCGAAGGCGAGTACTATAATGAGATTTGTTAAAAAACCATATCTGCACTAGTTAATAATACCATTTTTTCTCAAAAAAGTCTAAAATTAGCGGAAAAAAGTTCTTTTCCTAAATTCACAGTTTTTACTGGATATTAAGTAAAATTCTAAGCTCAACATAACAATGTTTTGTAAACAATATCGTCTTACTAAAACGTGACTAATATGAATTGAATGCACCGCTTCGAATTGTTTCATTTTTTTACAATATCTAAAATTCTTGATTTAATAAATGAAGATCGATGATTTTATCGAGATAAATATGTTATATACACTTTATTATTTTTCCATTGTAATAAATATGCTGTACTTGCAATGCTTACATTCTGTGTTGAACAATATTTCATTACATGTCTTTTTGATAAAGGTAGATGCTATCAAAACATGACTCATTTGCAACATCCGAGAGCAGGTGATTCTTAGTACTCGTAGTAGTCAGACTATGATAAAATAATATACACACGCCTATCTTAAGTTTAATAACATAATTTAAAAAAAAAACGGAAATTTTTGAATGATCTTAAATTATTGACTATTTTTGTTGTTGTTCTGAACATTAATCATGTTTGAATAGCTACCTGAAGCTTACACGTAGCGTAGTTCACATAATACATTTAATTAAATCCAAAACAAGAACTATTTTTATCTTATTAGGAAATTGACTGTTCTGTAACCGAATTCTAAGCTTTGTCCTTTTCACTTCAAAGCTTTAAACTGTCTAAATATATAAGTTAATGAAAGTCATTGCCGCGTTGTTCATTTTCATGTTCCGCCACTAGATGGCTTGTCCTCACTAGGGTAAACCGACCAGTTGATGACAAAATTTTTGTTTTTCAAAATTTTAATATGTATATGGCCGATTCTCTGTGAAATCGAATGGCCAAAAAAATTTTTTTTCTGCAAATATGACAAACTTGCTGTTCCCGATGTCAGAAATGTCCCCAAATTTTATTAGAATTTTTGGGACCATCTATCACTCTTTTTCAGGGGCCCGAAGTTGGCAATTTTAGGGTTTTTTTGAAATTCATGAAAAATCACAAATATTCAAATAATTCCTGGATCAGGGTAGAATGATTCAAAAGTAAAAGTGCCCAGCAACTTTTTTGTTGGAAATTGTCCAAATTTTCAGAAAAAAAATATGCCAAAGTGATTGGAACAATCTAGGTAAATGTAAAGCAAAAAAACTAAAAAAAAAACATAAAACAAGAAATCTACTCGAGTTCGAACCGGACTTTCATTTCCTAAACTATGTAAAAAGCTTCCCAAAGATGTCAACTAA